TTTTTTTTTTTTTCTTGCTGAAATGGTAAAGATTTTGGGTATCTGAAGAATTAATAAAAGGAGGTAACTCCCTTTATTCTCTTTTTTCTCCACAGGGTGATTCCGGAGGGCCCTTAGTCTGCAAATCCAATGGGGCCTGGACACTGGCTGGGGTGGTGAGTTGGGGGGAAGGCTGTGCTCAACCCAACCGAGTTGGCGTATATACATCAGTACCTTTCTACCTAGATTGGATCCAAAACAATATAAATACAAATAGTGGACTTTCAAACTTCCCCAGGGTGACTCTACTTTTGCTGATTTTTGTACCAACCCTCCTATAAAATACACACCAGGCATTAATCACTCCAGACATTAAATCTGTACCAGCAACACTATGAATTTGTACTTTTCCTGTGATACATTTTCAGTAAGCTGTTGACCAAGTGATTGATCTTGTTAGGTTCTTTTGGGGATACAAGATTTATATATCATGAAGTAGTTGCTTAAGTTCCACTACAGACTGCAGAAAAGCAGTGTTTCATCTGTACCAGTGAGAGTCAAGTACTAAGAAATACTGACCAATTTGGTAGGGAAAAGAGAGGGAAATTGTATTGAGAACAGAAAATCCCACTTATCAAATAAGATCTAAGACAATAAGGCATATTCTGCCATCTGGTGGTGAAATATATATATGTAACCACTTGTTACTGTATGTTTTTGTTGCATTGTAGCACTTCTAAGTCTGGATTTTAAAAGTGTTTAAAACATTTGCACCTTATCTAGCTTTCATGGATTCTAGGCCGCCCAATATACTTTTCCATTATTAATATTAAGTGGGCCCATACAAGTCATTGGTGCCGGATGTAGCTTGAGTTTTGCTTACCACCAGATGTGAATGCAAACGACCAGGGCTTTTTTTCTCATAGAACGCCCAGAACGGAGTTCCGGCACCTTTTTTGGATGGAACCTTGTAGGGTAGGCAAGGCAGGTTGTATGATGTGTGTGAGTTCTGGCACCTTTTTTTTTTTTTAGAAAAAAAGCACTGCAAACGACTGTAATGTGTACACAGTGTTTATGGTACTTTTCATCAGTGCTTTTTTTCTATAAAAAAAAATAAAAGGTGCCGGAACTCACACACATCATACAACCCGCCTTGCCTACCCTACAAGGTTCCATCCAAAAAGGGTGCCGGAACTCCGTTCTGGGCGTTCTATGAGAAAAAAAGCCCTGCTTTTCATTATCAATATCAACTGGGGCCACACAACCTATTGGTGCATGATGTAGTTTGGGCTTTGCTTAGCACATGATGTGAATCCAAACAATTATGTTCTGTACACAATGTTTATGGTTTAGCAGAGATTGCTGAACTGACCACTGTCTATGGAGCTGAAGATAATGGCAAATATCCAAGTATCTCTATTGATATTCTACTTCAGTTAAGTTTATCAAGCAATATTGGGTAGTATGAATTGTACCACATTTGACTGTGGGAAGATGACACTGTTTCTATGTTGGGAAAACTTGCCTGTTAGAAAAAAAGAACTTTCTAGTCCAGTGATGGTGAAACTTTTAGAGACCAAGTGCCCCAAAACTGGCCCCACCCCCGCTCCACCCCCTGCCCCGCCCCCCATCCCCTGCCCCGCCTGCCTGGAGGACCACTCACCGCCTCCAGGGCTTGCCACAGATCACCCAGGCAGCCCAGCAGCGCTATGGCGGTCACGCCTTCTGCCCGCGCCCTGCAGCATCAACTGTGCACAATGGGGTGTGAGGGCAGAGTCTTGTCTACGCTGCCTGGCTGCCATGTCCTTGGCTGCGCTGCCCCGCGTGGGCCTCGCTCAGGGGTGACTCTCCTCCAGGGGGACTGCTGGAGAGGAAGGGGTCGCGGGGGGAGGCGAGGCTGGGGCAACAGCACGTGTGCCCACAGAGAGGGCTCTGAGTGCCGCCTCTGGCACCCGTGCCATAGGTTCGCCAACACTGTTCTAGTCCTTTCATCAGCATGCTGAGCTACTCAGAAAATGAGGAAACAGAATGCTATGTACTGAGTTTAATTGAGAGCAGGTGCAAGGCGCTGCACCTGAACAATCAGCAGACCACATGGTCTGCCCAGGGAGACTTGCAGTTGCAAGGAATGAATGAGCCTGCAATTTGAGCGGGAAAGGCTGTTGCCTTGATTGGCTGGCGACGCCCCAGGGAGATTGTATAAAAGGGGGTGAAGCTATTTTGTTGTTGTTCTGTTTTACTTGAATAAAGACTTATCTGTTAACACCCTCTGACTATTCAATGCCTACCAACGCACAGGACAGAACATGGAAGTTTTGAATCTCTACCGTCTTAATTGTGAGCAACTTAATGCAGCAACTGTGAAAAGAACTATGTGGGCCAAACAGGAAGAAAACTATCTACCAGACTGCATGAACCCTCCCTGGCTATCAAAAGACATGACCCACTATCCCTCATGTCCATCCACGAAGACTCAGAAGAACACAAGTTTGATCTAACTGAGACCACAGTTGTAACCCAAGCAAAATCAAGGAGAGAAAGAGAATTCCTTGAAGCCTGGTTCTCCACCAATAAGTCAATAAACAGACACATTGACATCGACCCATACCAACTGCTGAGAATGAAATAATTACTTCAACTGCAATCCCGAAGGCAGATTTAAAATGAACAGGCACCCCACTGCACAGCAAAAATCACAACCCCCCCCCCAAGAAACCAGACCATGTTTCGACAACAACAGTCATCCATCCAAACAACCCGAAACCAGACCATGACTCAAAGGCAACCAAATGAACAAATACCATTTGCATCACACAGACAATACAAGGACTATGACGCAGCAGCAACAACCAGCCAATCAAACAGCCCGAAACCAGACCATGACTCAGCAACATCCGGACAAATAACATCCATACCAATTTACATCACATAAAAAGGTATTTAAAGGCCAGGGCTCTGACAGATGAGCACAATTCAAAGCACACTGAAGATGTCCCCCCAAATGGAGACAAAACATTTGCAGCCAAATCGCCAAGCTCGGAGATCAAACCAACAGCCCAACAACCAATCCGAGCTACTAATATTCAAACACATCTCAAACAGTCTTTTTTTATTATTATTATTTATTGTATTTTTACCCCGCCCTTCTCCTTGCGGACTCAGGGCGGCTAACAGCCTAATAAAAACAAATACAAAAGTACAAAATACTACCATTAAAACATAATTAAAAGGAAATATTAATTTGGCCTTTGTTATTTTAAAAAATTATTTTAAAACCCAACTAAAAATCACCCCTTAGGCCAGTCCTGCTAGCTTAAATAGCCATGTCTTAAGGGCGCGGCGGAAGGAAGGGAGATCCGGGATCACCCTGATCTCTGGGGGTAGTTCGTTCCATAGGGTGGGAGCCCCCACCGAGAAGGCCCTCCCCCTGGGGGTCACCAGCCGGCACTGTCTGGCTGACGGCACCCTGAGGAGACCCACTCTGTGGGAGCGTACCGGCCGATGGGAGGTAATCTGAGGCAGAAGGCGGTCTCGGAGATATCCAGGTCCGATGCCATGGAGCGCTTTGAAGGTGATAATCAACACCTTGAAGCGCACCTGGAAGGCCACCGGCAGCCAGTGCAGCTCGCACAGTAACGGCGTTACATGGGAGCGACGAGTCCCTCCCAACACCGCCCGCGCGGCTGCATTCTGGACTAACTGGAGCCTCCGAGTGCTCCTCAAGGGGAGCCCCATGTAGAGAGCATTGCAGTAGTCCAGGCGGGAGGTGACAAGGGCATGGGTGACTGTGCGCAAGGCGTCCCGGTCCAGAAAAGGCCGCAACTGGTAG